GCTTAAATTTGTCAGTACCAAAGAAAAGTATTAGTATTGTGGAGTTTTACACTTTAATCAAAGTGCCTCATTATTGTAGTTCTGAAATCACATTTTCACATTTAAAACAACTTTTTCTGTCTCTGAGATTGTCTGGAATACTCACACTACACATACACAAAAGAGAAAACTGCAGCAAGTGTTTTCACTTGTGGGGTAATTATCTGTGTAGGGTAAATAGCCTTTACAGCGCAGAAAGACAAAGGTTAGCAGAACAATGAAGAGTAAAGTGGCTGTTTGGCACAGGAACATTTACTATTTTTTAGAATAATGAGTTCTATTTTATTTTCTCTCTGGCATTCCTGCTTAGTGCCTCTGTGCTTCTAGCTACAACATCTGGTTTCTAGTTGACTGAACAATGCTGTTCGGAACAAATGAAGATCTGAGTGAATCTTTTTGTTCTTCTTGGAATTCTCCATAAACAGAAATAAGATAAAATATAGGATACACTTGATAAGATAGTGTGGTGTAAAATTAGCAACACTAATTAAAAAACACCACTGAGAAGCACTGGCTAAATGTAAGGACCTGACACATTAAATTCATATGCATACATGTGAACTGTGTGAACTGTGCTCTCATAAAACCCTGAAAGCACCTCAGCCAAGTGTCTCTGATGAAAAGGACATTATTTTATCTCTATTTTCTCTTGCAGATACATTTATACCTGGTGCTGTGCTGGACTGAGACTGAACAAAGTGTACAAAACATCTACCACCTAAAAAACTGAAAACCAAAGTAAATCTTTCAGTTACATCAGTTCTAGATAAACCTGTGTTAAGAATGAATACTACAGAAAACAAGATGTGTGTGGCTGGTGTATCTGTAAATTCAGATGCAGGGAGTCAAAAGCAGTATTGAAATATAAACCATTAACATCTTCTCTGACATTAATTAATACTACTGGGAGAAAAATAAAACTGCATCATGAAGCTCAAGACAATCCAAATTGCAGCAACAAAAATAATAATTTGTCTTCTTTTTCTACTTCATTCTTAGTAGACATCTGAGTAGATAAAAACTCTTCCTCCTGATCCATACTGCAGGGGTTTTTTAAAGTGCAAAGAGAAAAACAAAATAAATTGACATTTCCTTAGTAGTATTTTCTTCTCTGTAGCATAAAGAAACCCAAGGATTAATATTAATTTCCACTACAAGAATCAAGTGTATCTCATTATACATATGAAGAATCACACCGCTTCTGTGGTATTTACAGTTGCTGAAACCACATTCAGTATTCTCATCAGGAGCATTCTTTTGAGTTGGCTCTTCATATATGTTTACATTAGATATCCAGAAACAACTTAGTAAGTACTTTTCTAAGATTTGTATTATCAAGTTTTTGCTTTGATCAGTAGAAGTCAATCACTTCTGATGCAAAGATGCTGCAAGTACTGCAATAATCCACCATTATTGCAAGTATTGCAATAAATCTCTTTTATGTGAAGATGTAGCAAAAAGCTTTCATTTGGAAAGTAAGAGACAAAATTAATACATGACAAATAGGAAAGGAATTTCAGAGTCCTGGAATTAAATCTCTCCCAACCATTTTACAAAAAATAGAGAGTGAACACTATATATGCCATAGCACAGCTCAACTACCAGCCTTTCTATGTAAGAAATGGAATATCTAATTGAGAAATCAAGGCCAGAGCTTCAAAAGAGTTGATCCTGTGTGGTGATTGAGGAGAACTCTTGCTTTGAAAATTAAACTGTGGTGCTTGTCAAGGAAATTAAACTGTGGTGCTTGCATGTAACTGGTGAGCTGTGAATCAGTGTCAAGAGCTCGTAAGAGCAGAGGAATCTGTGTTTTCCACTCCTTACCAGCAGCTGGCCAGACCCAAGTGATGCAAACAATGTTCCAGGCTTTTTAAAGGACCAGTCCTCACTGCCATCCTGCTGCCCCGGGCAGAACATGTATATCAGCATGTATTAATTGGCTTGCAAGTTGGCTTCTGGGCTTGAAGCCTTCTAAAGCTTTTCATGGATATTAATCTGTACAGTGTTCTGCCCAGTGTTTTCATTCCTCTCTTTAGTTCTTTCCCTTGGTGCTGCTGGTTTCATGCTGGTCTGGACTACTTCATGGAGAATCACAATACAATTCCTTTTTATTTCTTCTTCTTTTGTGACAGAAGATGAAGATATCTCCCTTCTTCACAAAGATTTTTTGCTCAGTAGTAACTTTGTAGTGGCTGCTGGACAGCTCAAAAGAAGCTCCTGCCTTTGGTACCCACATTCTGCTGTTGTATTTTTGCACATTGCTTTTAGTTTGCAAAGGTTTTATTTCCTATGGCTCATTTTCTCAATACACAGTTTCTGTGTGGGGTTTTTTCCTAGAGGTTTTTTTTTTTGTTTATTTTACAGCTTCATAATGCACCCATTTTTAACACCAGTAGTTACTTAGGCAGTCACTTCCACGCTTTCTAGTGAAGGCTTTTTTAATACACTGATGTCAGAAAAGATATTAAGAAACCAATTTCATGCCATTTTCTACAAGCCTTTATGTTGTGGAACATACACAACTTCAGGTGAAGGTAGAAGCAAGACTCCATGACAGGAAAATAAATGTACAAATGGCAGGTCTGGAAGGGCACCCTATGGACTCCTTACCACGAGGAGCCTCACTGAGAGATTCTTACACCTCCTACCCAGAGCATGGATCTCTGCCTCTTACAGCAGGTCTTTAACTGGTATTTTGTGTTCTGCAGACTGAACACACATGGGTTTCTTCAAAAATTCAAAGAGAATGCTTTCCATCCTTTTTTTTTACCTTGTCTTAAAACCAGGGGGATTTCTTGCTTCCCCATATTTCTGTTCTTGCCAATTACAAAAATCTTACATGAGAAGGTAAAATGGGTGCAAAGGCTACACCACAAAGAAATGATCACCTGTGAAAAAAATCTTAGGAATTACTAAAATTACATTTTTTATAGATATGTTCCACTAAAGGCCTATTTAAATCCCTAAAAGTATTCTTTTTCAAGCACACCATAATATAAAATCACTTAGACAAAGTCTTTCAGATACCTTTTTGCTTTAAAATGGATTTTGGTCTAAAAGTGCCAGCTCAACAGGAGATATTTCAACATTCACAAGGACTCCAGATAAGTGCAAGATAGTCCTCATGGTGATTTTCAGTCATTGTAATTGAGCTCAAATTAAAGTGAGTCCCAGCTGTAAATGATCACTGACCAATTTACTAAGCCATTAATCCTGTCTATGAAACTTTCACTCATGCTTGTTTTTAAGAACTAAATTAAGAGTTAAATTTCTTAAGTAGTTCAGAGGTGAAGACAACTGACATGTGGAACTCTGACTTCTTTTCCAAAGATATATATTTAGTAGAGTTAATGTTATTTTATCTCTGACTGCACAGTCACAGTAGTTGCATTAAAAACTACTCACACAGATCTCTCAGCAGTAGCTGAGGAGAAAATGCTTCTACAAAGTATTTTTATAGCATGTGTCCAGATACATTGAGCTTCCAAGAATCGAAACTTGTCACTATCTTAACCCCCAGAAAAATAAAACTTTTTAAATTACATAATTTAATCACATGACCAGAATTAGAGAAGCTTGCCAGTCCTGATTTAACAACAATCTGTGTTTTGTAGCAGTCTTTGTGTAAATACTGATGTAGTATTCTGGATAAAAGCAAGGGAAAAAATAATTTTGAAGTGTACCTTTCTTTAAATTTTTGTGGCTTTTCAAGACTTTTCTGATTTTTTCCTTCAATTTTTTCAGAATTATTTTGATCTTCTTTAGTCTCTTTGAAGCTCTTAAAAGATAAAGAACAAACGGCATAAAAATTGACAAAACTTGAAGCATTTTAGCTACATGCTGCAAAAGTTTTCTAAACCTGACGGCTCAGTGCTCAGTAGTAGTTTTTGTAGCCAAAAGGTTATGAAGAAATAAGGAGAACAAGGTTAAAAAGAGGCAATATTTTTTGTTGGATCAACTGTAACTACTGCAATAAACACAGAAGTTTTGGAGCATGGGTCTAAATGTCAGGACCTGGAGCTCTTTACATGGTCTCTTTCACAACTATGAACAAATTCATCACATCCCTTCTTCCTGTCTGTTTACACAGCATAAACCACATTGGGAACTTCAACCTGGATCTAGGAGTGTCAAACAGGATCACAGAATAGAAATAGAAAAAACACCTGTGCAAAACATGCTGCTATCAACACGAGGCAGTAAAGGAGTCCTTGATCATCTGCTCCAGGCAGATGGGTAAAAGCACCCAGATGCAATGCCATGACATTTACTAAAATTTTACAAGATTGGGCTACTCAGGCTTAGAAGAGACCTTTTATAGAGGAGTAGGTCCAAATTCTGTACTGATAAAATCCCTCTGATTCTCCCTTTGGAATCAGCATTTCTCCTAGTCAATCAGCCAGTTTTATTCCTGGGTGTTACATACCCACATATGTATTTTGGTGAAAAAAAAATAAGGGGAGAAGGAATTTCCATTATTCTTATTGTAAAGCATACTTAGTTAAATACAAACCCTTAAAAACCTAGTAGGACCTGTGAAAGCTGCACACTCAAGCCCTGGGGCTCACTGAGGAGTGGCCCTGATCTATTTTCAAGTGTATTCTCCTGAGCTGACACCAAAGTCATCGTGGCACGGTGCCTTAGCAGAAGCTGCAGAGAGGAAGCTGTAAGAGCCTTCACATTCATGGACCCCTCTGCTCTAAGCAAACACGTGTGGTGCCACAGAAATGTAATTATAAGGCTGAGATCATCCTGTTGGTCTGTGAGCTTGAAAATACACTACTTTTTTGATGTTTCAGAAAATGTAACAACGCTACGTATGACCACATATATAATACATATTTATATAATTTAAAATTAATATACAGTTACCTCTTTTAAGCAGTCAATTTTTGTTTTTAATTCTTCTGCTTCTTTTTCCAGTTTGATGGTTTCCTGTGCAGCAGCTTCAGCAAGCTGCAAGGTTTCCTGTGTTTTTTTCCTCATAGAGGCACTTCCATGTCATGGAATATATTTTACAACAATGTATTTTTTCAAGCAAGGGATGCCATCAGATCCCTGACTTCTCTATGCCATAACACAAATTCTAGAGGTACAGGAAGCTCTGATAAATCTGCATTTCCTTGGCAAATCTTCAACTCTAACTTCTATTAAGCTTCTCCTAAATGAAGCAGTTTGATGGATATGTTATTAAATGAAATTTTGTATTCTTTCCCCAAAATGCTCCCATAAATTCAAACTGAATAGCTGAATTTGACCTCCAGTTTCCTCACAGAGAAATGCCAATGCTGCCACTCTAAACATAAATATATAAATAATTACTGTATTTTCTAATAGAAAGTTGTGATAGGTAAATATAAAACTCCTTTCCTGACAACTGAACAAACACTAGAAATCAAGGATACATGTGTACAGCCCAATCATTTATGGATGTAAAAGGAACAGCCTCTGCAAAGATAAAATTTGCTTTCAGATCATTAACTAACAAATCAATTTTCTTAAACAAGTACAAGACAAATTAATAGATCAGGAACATTTATCTTGGCTTAGTACAGATAACAAAAATTGCAGTATTACAGTAATGGCATTAAAAAGAGCATTGAAAAGTGATGCAAATTAAATTTATAATTTTGAGAGGCTCGATCTAAAGAAATCTTTGAACTTTTTACCCCAAGAAGTTCAGTGACAAAGCTCTCCCCATTACATTTATGGCTCAGAGGAAGCACTATCAGTATGTATAATCTAAATTCTTATTTGCTACAGGTTTTGTTTTTTTTTTTCTAAAAATGGTGTGATGAAGAGAATATATTTTATTAGCTTAAAGGAAACTTCAGAAAATTGGAGGTTTTCTGCATGACACTTTTGATGTGCAGTGCACTGCCAAAAGACTTTATTACAAAAGCATTGACAATAGCAGTACCCAGAATATCCAAGCAAGCATCTTCTTTCCATTTGTATTTTTCAAGGCGTTTCAAAACTCTCTTTTGAATTTCTTCAACTTCTTCCTTTTTTTGGTAATACTTCTGGGCAAGAGCAGTTTCTGTATATTTTTTGCGCTGTTCCTCCAAAGTCATTCTACACTGGGTTATGAAATCCTCATATATTTTCCTATAAAGATACATGCAATTTAATTATTTTCCCAAGAAACCATTGTTTATAAGAAAAAAAAAAACATATAAATTTGTGGCATCTGCTCAGTCAGTTTGCTGCTGTCATAGGAAGAAAAGTCAGATTATATTTAATATGGCAATATTTGGCTTTAATTTTTTTATTTCCCAGCTATATTCAAGGAAGACTGTGCTGTATGTAACAGAGAATAGTCATGATGTAAAAACCAGCCAAATCTCCCTGTTCTGAAGGGAATGTAGACCATACTACATTCAAAGGCAGCCTGGTAGATGACAAACGTGTTTTTGCCTGTGTAATTATCATGAAACTCATGGCAGGCCAAAGTCTCTGCTGGTGCATGTTGGCACAATTCCATCAGTTTCAGTGGAGCTGGATCAAAGTCACAGTGGAAGAGAATTTGGCCAAACCTCCCATATTTAGAGCAGTCTGGTGCAACACTGGACTAAGAACTGCCTCCAAGGAGATGCTGAGTAATCTCTGTTTGACTCAGGGAAGCCTTGAACACACACATCAGTCACACTGAAACAACAGGACTATTCATACTTAAGGTTAAGCAAACACTTAAATGTTTAAGTGGCAAAGAGCCAGAATGTTCAGCTTCTTGTGGGGATGCCTTGTAAATTAATGTTACACTAAATGTAACTTCACTGACATCATGTGAGCACATAGCTATGAATTACTGGAGTAGGCAACATCAATTAATGCAGGAAAAGCTTATGTGAATAATGAAGAGGCAATTTTTTTTAAATTAAATTATTAATACACCTAAGGATTAGCAAGAATTTCCTTTATGGAAAAAACTATGGTGTATAAAAGCAATTAAATCCAGAAACCCATTTCTTAACCTGCCCCTACATTAAGGAACAGCTTGCAAAGCACATGGGACTTCCCTTTAAGGAACACATTTTATCTCAAACTGCTATTTATCATTTAACTGCAGCATGACTGAAAGGCTGCACTTGAGAGTCCTGGCTGCCCACTGGCTGTGCCATGTAATGGCAGAGAGAAAAACTTATGTCTAAATTCAATACAAAATCTTCTGCTCTTACAAAAGGAAAACAAATTCACAAGGCAAAACACAGTCAGATTCTAATTTTCGAATCAAATTACACTCCAAGCAACAGTTCCTGTTAAATGGAATGTTAAAATTTAGGGGAGAGAAGTTGTAGGTCAACACTGTGAATTGATATTTCCCAAATTTCACATAGAAAATTACACTAATCTATGTGGTTTTCTACACAGGTGGTCTTAGGAATCTAATTTTTTTTTATTTATTTAATATTTCTGTATACTGTACAAATTTTTTCAGATATGAAATATGAAAAATATTCAGTTCTATTTAATTAAATAGATGTTACAGGAATAACTGATCAAAAATAAATTTGCTAATAAACTCAGAATGCATTACAAATAGATTTAAATCATAAATATAAATAAGTAAAATAATTTGTTGTAACAGGTGCATTTCAAGTTTGTGAATATAATCCTAAAACTTCATATTCTTTTCCCAAAATCTATTTTTCACAGATAATATTTGTGGCCATATATAGTATAGTAGTCTTGAGTAATCATGACTATTTTTAATATTTTCTCCAAGTAATTTACATCCTGCAGTTCATGCAGATAACACAGACTATGTAGAATTCACCACTGTTCAGATTAATCAGAAAAAGTTTTAATCTAATTACAGCAGGAAAAGGGCAGCGCTCCCAACCCCCTGAACATTATGTGGATAGCAATTTATTACTTTTTCCTTCTTCATATCGCTTATTTTCAGGATTAACTTCCAGCTCATAAATGCATTCTTATATGTTCTTGAAACCAATAACAACAAAAAAATGTGGACCATTTTATAAACCTCCATTATAAGTGCCTAATTAAACATGAACTGATCTGCCCATCTTTAAAACACATCTTTCCATCTAAAGCAGCATGTCCTCAGTGCCCCCAAATGCCAGAAGAAAAAGAACATTCAACTCATAAAGTTCTAAAGACACTTATTTTTTTTCCTAATTTAAATATCTAGAATTTACTGAATGCACATCTTGCTGACTTGAACATATCATCAAATGCTTTCATGCAGAGAGACTATATTTGGGGTATAGTTTTAAAAAATGCATGAATTAAATTTATTTTGTGATTTGTACTTATGATGTCTTACAATTAAGCTCAGGAAAACAGATCAAACACTTTCATGTTGGAACTGAAACTAGTTATCTAAAGAAGCAATTTAAAAGTAATGCTTCTTTGGCTTGTCAGCTCAAATTAGTGAAAGCCAAAAAGGCTTAATCATATACTCATAGAAAGCCAATTTAGCCTTATTTTTCACCAAATTTAGAGCTCTGAACAGGAAGAAGAAAGATAAGCTACTAAGTGAGTTAATTAAAGGCTCTCAGGCATGCTGTTTCTGCTGTCTTGGGCAACTGGCAAAAAGAATGATTACAAAAATCTCAAAGCCAATGTTTTAAATTACCTAAATTTACAACTCTTAACTGGTATTTAGTTATCTGGAGGGGTCTGCCATGACTTCTGCACCACAGGGCCAGCAGCCTCCAGCCCCTCACAGGCAGAGCAGGGCAGGTGAGCAGCCTCCCTAAACCGGAGATCAGTTTTACTTTGTTCAGTAAAATTTTGGAGGGCTACCTTGGCACAGCACCTTTGAAACATTTCTGTGAGAATCTTCAGGGTCTGTTTTTATTTCATTGACTGTAGGCAGCTACATTGCACAATTCATCATTTATTTTAAATGCCAAGTCTAACTAATGAAGATGAAATATTCCACTCACTGAAGAGAATTGAATTTGCAATTAATGCTGACTAGAAGCCTGCCCACAACTAGTCTTAAAATTATTTTAGACCAGGTTTTCTGAGCCACTTACTCATTTTTCAGGACTTAAGACTGAATTTGAATGCTTTGTGGTTATTTTGAAGAATATACAACAGTATACAAAAACTTGATTTGTATATTCTGATAATGCTATGCAATTTATATCCAAAAATAAGGAAAATCATAGCATTATCTGAATGCTTCTAACTGTTACCTGAAAACATTAATTGTTTTTATTTATTGGGCTTTTCTTGAAACTATAGGCAACTGTACGATGTTCTGAAAAATTGTAATAGGCATTTGGGAAGCAACAGAGTTTCAAGAATTCGTATTTTATCATACAAAATAAAATATTATCTCATAGTAATGTAAACAAAAAATTCTTTCAATTATTCAGTCACTTATAAGTGACTATAAACTGAAAAGTTTGCAACAATTTTTTCCTGCAGACAGGACTAGTTTTGCAGATCAGTTTAGTCAGTACAACTGCTAGACACCTTATCTCATGTGATCATAGATACCTCTCGCTTTCTGTAGCTTCCTCTAAAACTTTCATTTCAGTTTTCAAATATTCTCCATGCTCTTTAAGAATTGTATAGGTGGGCTTCCAGCTGTGGACAAAGTAAACAAAAAATAAAAGTATATTAGTGGTCTTTCTTAGTAAAAAAAACATTTAGAAAAGAAAAGGCCTAGTTACTTTAGATAGCTTAGAAATGATTTATTAATTTTTTGAAAGTTAAATACAAATAGGTTTAGTACAGAAATCTTTTGCAGGCATACATTTATTTTATTAACATTTTAAACCTGCAAATTCAAGAAAAAAGAAAATATTTAAAATTAAGAAACATTACAAAGCACTTTTTAAGAAATTAATGGAATGAACTTCACAAGTTTTTTGAGCTAATGCTAAGTAATCTAAATCCATTTTAGGTCCTCAACACATCACCATCAATAAATCCTTTAGATATGTTGAATCTTCTTGTTGGAGACACCCACAACTTCATTCTCACCAGTATCACCAGCACCCATCTCACACCTAAATGCAAGCAGCAGTTACAAACTCAGAATTCCCTCCATTTGGTAAGCAAGTCCTGCTCAGAAGGCATCAGTGACTTTCCTGCAGCAGGATGCTGTAGATGGCACTGAGGGCAGAGCAGCTTCATGGAACACTCAGGACTATTGGAAGAGCAGGACTTTCTCAACATCCAGGCATTAGAGATACCTCTGCCTTGGATATGGGAATACCAGAAAAACAAGTAGATAGATTTTGTGATTCAAGTGAAAATTCAGATGTGATCTCTAGGAGAAGCATATTCAAAAGTTTTTGAAAATAAAAAATCCTGTCTGGAAAAAAAAAGGTATAAGAAGTATGAACCACTCCAGCACTCCTGGCACAAATTGTTGGACACCACTGGTGATTAAAAGTGGAACGACAAAATGTTGCTTCACCATATCTACTGCAAATTCAGCAGGAAGCTGAATTTCAAAAGAGTCAGATTTTTGCAAAAGCAGAAACCAACATACTTAGATTAAAAAGCACTTGCACACCAGACACTGTTATGTTCTTTTACTCAGAAAACTCCATTAATTTCTTCAGAAGGAAAAAAAACCTGAGATGTAAAATTCATAGAGACTTTATTAATCAGAGCACAAGCCATGTTGTGAGTTACATTTTTTGTTCACATCTATTCTGTGGATGTGGAAAAAACATGTGATACAAGAACAGTGGTTTGTGAACACAACCAGGCACGCAGGATTCAAGCAGCTCATTTACTTGTTTGCAAAATGCATCACTGTCTTATGGATGTCCTTGGTAGTATCACATTTATTTGTCCTTCTTTTCATCAGCCAGAGAATAGAAAATATCTTTAACCACACTACTCTGAAAGCAATAAAATTATCTTGTAGTCTGTCTTGGGACAAGACAACAGTTTCTTTTCCTAACTAACAACATTCTGAGTTCATGTGGCTTTTTTTAAATTATCTTCTATTTCCATTAAATCCCACCATCCTTGCATCCAAATTTAAAAATCATA